CATCATAGTAGTACCTGAAAATGCCAAATAAAAATAAGAAATATAGTAAGAATACTTCCTTGATAGCATGAATTTGTCAGTCACTGGGAGGCAAAGAGGAAAAAGTCGCAGTATCCATGGGTGCTGCCCTGCTTCCCATACTGTAGCAATGTTAGGACTTCAAGCAGCATATGTTCTCTTCCACAGATAAAAATTCCCAAGAGCATCCATTGAGTCCCTTATAGTGAAGTCTATTTATTTCTTGGTGGATGTTCCCCCTAAGCGTGGCCTTAAAGTTGTGACTGCTGCAAACTTTTAAGTGTGCTTTACTGTGTTTGAGCTTCAATCGGAAATCGATCTTGCTCTGATAGAGCTCAAAGGTACATTACACAATGATTTAGATAGATTAACCAAGAAAGTGGAGCAGTGCGCAAAGTAGGGCAGAGGCTCTGTGCTGTAGCGTAACTCGTAACTGAATGAAGGGGCACTAGGGTCTTGTCACTTGGCTGATATAAATGCTGCAGCTTTCTATCGCAAGGGCACGCCTCTACACTTGCTCTCCCATCTTTTCTCTTTCCTCGGCGAAAAGTGTCTCTTCGTTGTAGCAGTGCTCATCTCAAGCAATAAGTAGGCCTTTACTCGAAGTGGTTTTCAGTATTTTTTCTTTTTCTTCACTAGTGGTCCATTTATCGCCCATGCTTTCATTTTCTACCGAAAAAGGACACCTTATCAATCATGGATTAGTCTCTCAGAGGTACTTAACGCCATTACGGGGCCTCCACTCAAATGCGAACTCTTGTACATTTTTTAGAGCTATTTATTTACCCCTTACTGTCCCACATCTCCAAGCTCGGGACCCGTTTTTCTCTCGGAATTTGTCCTGGGGGTTAGCTGACCCGCAGAAAACGAATATGACATCCTCTTGGTGAACGAGAGCTCGGTGCTCACGCAAGAGACTGGGTATTTTCACATTCGGTGAACGCGGGCATCTCTGCACAGCCGCCTTCCCGTCATTGACGTTCTTCTTGCTAAACTACCCATACATGATCTTCTGGTCCAACTCAACAAAGCGAGCAGATTTCGAGAAGAATCTTCCTAGTTCTGGCGGATGAGGCAGCAAAGAAAGGAGGGTCGTGTTCTGTATGGGTTTTCTCTTTCACTCCCACAATGCTTCAGTGAAGCTACCGAGGCGACACGGGGGTCGTAGATACGCTTCTGCAGCGCGCTGAAGATTCCTTTCAGATTTCATCGCTCCAAATGTACAGCAATGGTGGAATTAATAGACCGCCTTCCTTGGCCTTTACGGTAATGGTCATCAATGCTTCAAATCGCTTCTTTTCTGGGAGCTGCCTAATACGTCATTCTTTTTGTAGCATTGTTGTGACTTAAAG